CCAAGCTACCTACTTTTCACAAATATTTCATTGTTGATTCTTCTGTTAAACAGTGGATCTTAATTTATGGAATTCCTTTACCTCAAATAAGTGACAGCATACAGTATTTTCTGAAGTCTGAGTCAATTAGGTTGAAACTGTTAATCCCAAGTGGCTTCCTCTTCTTTGTATTTGGCTCTTATTCTGTGAAAATGCTGCTTGTCCATGAATATGATGTATGTTGAGACTGTAAAACCAAATGGAGAAAACTTGTTCAAAATAAAGCCTTTTTTTATAAGAATCTGACAAAAATTATCCCTTTCCTTTAGATGGGATGCTGCTCTTTAAACTACTAATGAGGACATAGACTACAAGTTTCATTCTTAGCTCTTTTCTTGAGCTTTTTTTTGACTGATAGTTTGCTGCTTTTTTTTTTTGAGCTGGTGGAATGTGTCTTCAGCTGGGAAAAAGAAACAAACAAAACAAAAACCCAACCTCTGTATTTACTTGACAAAGTTGAAGTATCAAAAGAGTGCAACTTGGGGTTGGGAGTTGGGGTTTTGGTTTTTTAGGGTATTTTTGGGTTTGGTTTTCTTTTAAATTAGTAAGGGTTCTGGTTGAGAGATCTAAAAGTTGCTGTTGTGGTGGTCTGTAGAGAACAAGAAGGCTAATTTTTGACAGAAAGAGCATGTTGTGTAATGAGTAACTGAGAGGAGTCGTGGCTTCTTAAGGATGATTCTTCCTAGCGTTGCCTTGCTCCAGCTGCAAAACTTTGGGTGTTAACAACTGCGTCCATTGCCACTGTTTCATAACAGTACCTTAAATTGAATTTACTGTCTAATATATTGGAAATGAAACTGCTTTTGTAGCAGCTGAGGGGGGATGTTAATCATACTGTTCTCCAAATGCTTGTCACTGCTGATGCTGCTGCACTGACTGCCCCAAAAACCAGTCCTGTTCAGGAAAAATTGGAGATAAAAAATTGGAACTGAATTGGTGCGCACTGACTTCAGCTTGTAAGGATGTAATGCCTCAGAGGTGAGGCTGTCTTAGAGGAGAGCTGTATTTGCCATTTATCACAAGGATGAAGCTGAGCTATATTCCTGTAGAGCACAATTTTAGCTTGGAGTGCATGAATTTCAGTTTTGAAAAAAAAAATACAGCCAAATGTCTGCAGAATAAATCAATATATCAATATATCTTCATGCTGAATTGGTGCACGATGCATGCTAAAACTATGCACAAGTACTTCTGAATTCATTCAATGAGCCAGTGTTACTTTTTTTTCTTTTACAAATGTCTCCAAATTATTTTTTCTTTTTTGCAATATTGATTTTGTTAAATCCACACTTACCAAAAATGGAGCATGTCTGCTGAACTGTGTGGACAATCCTTCCTTGTCAGCAAGGTGCTCATCGGTCATAGACATCTCATGCCCCAGTAATGCATGTCATGTTTTATTTCCATAAACATCTCATCCCCTGTTAATGCATGTCATGTTTTCTTTCTTAAAAAACTGGAGCCTTCGGCAGGCAGAGCCACCAGTGAAAGGCCAGTGCTATCCTATGCCACAGTGCTGTAGTATTTCTGCAACAGCAGCAGAACCACTTTAGAAGGTCCTTGTTTTTCTGCTGGATGTTGCTGCCAAAAAAGGTGTCAACCCAATCGATCTAAAGTTTCAGCTGTAAGTTGGGTATGTGGAATTGGGTTGAATGACGGAAGCTAATGAACCAGATCTGCTGCCAACAGACGTGCTCTGGTAGCCAGTGGCTTCATTTCAACTATATGCAAAGTGGGAGGGGGAAGAGGGCGCTTATCTCACCTCTAGCTGTTTAGATGCAAAGGCCTGGTTCATAGCAGTGCTCTGATGATCCTCAGGTTTGGTACTTTTTCATAATTTCACTTTTGGTGTTTGCTTTTTAACTAGATCGTTTTGACAGGACCAAAGGCAAGTTACATGCATCAGCAGAGCAGAAAGGTGATAACTTCTGATAAAGCAGTGGGATGTGACTGAGGCTGGGGGCAGCAACTTCTCAGGTGAGCTGGAGCCCTGTAGCAGCTTGTGTGAGTATGGTCGCCCCTTTGATCCAAGTACCTTAAAAATATTCAGAGCTCTGCCAGCTGTTCCCACTAGAAAGACAAAATTAATATGATTCAGGTATTCCTTTGGGACAAGCCCATGCGTTTTTCACGAAGGAGGTGTGCAGAGCGCTGTTTTCCCGAGCACTGTGAAATCCGTGTGCCGTAGGCCACTTCCAGCTCTCGGTTTCCAAAACTGCATGTTCAGTTAGGTCTGGAAGAAAAAAAAAAATATATATATATATATAGTTTCTGCTCTGGTTTGAAAAACATGCAAGACAAAGTGGGGAGAAAAGCAGCAGAGAGCAGTCCAGCTGGTCTCCCTGCCTCTTCCCTTTCACAGAAAAGCCTTTAGTCTCCCAGGCTTCGGCCCGCTGCACTTTGCCAACACCTGGCTTATTTCAAGTCTTGCTACCTATGCAGCTGAATATTGGACGCGTTTCAGATCGTTCTCACTTTCTTCCTGGAGCATTCTGGGACTCCAGCCAGGCAGAGGGAGGGAGAGAAGGAGCTGCTCCCACTGCAGCTTATGCACCAGCCTGCCTCCCGAGCCTGAGAGCTGTGGGAAGAGCCAGGGGGGAAAAACACTCCTCCCTTTTATACCCACCCGTTTTCCTTAAGAGTTAATACTGCTCATGACTGATAGAAAGATGAGAACGTGTGCTCCACAGATCAAAACAGTCCTGCCTCTTCCATCATTCCATCATTCTCTCACATTCTTGACTGTGAGGGTGGTCAGACACTGGAACAGGTTGCCCAAGGAAGTTGTGGATGCCCCCTCCCTGGAAGTGTTCAAGGCCAGGCTGGATGAGGCTTTGAGCAACCTGGTCTAGTGGAAGGTGTCCCTGCTGATGGCAGGGGGGTTGGAACTAGATGATCTTTAAGGTCCCTTCCAATCCAAACCATTCTATGATT